AAAAAAAAAATTTTTAAATATTAAAAAAAATTCCTTTATTTATTTTTTAATAAAGGGTTAATTATACCCTATACCCTTTTTTAAAATCCTTTTATTTTAAAGGTTTAGTTTTAAAAATTTATTTAAACCATAAATATTTTATTAATATTAAATAAAATAAGTTTTAAAATACCTATTAAAAATAAGTTAATTATAAATATTTTATTTTAGTTAAAAAGTTTTTAAAATAAAAGCTAATTTTAAACCTTAGTTTACTTATACTAGGTCTTTTAATAACTAGTACTTACCTTTTTAAAAAATTAATTAAAATATAATATTTACTTAAAATAATTTTTATATAAAATCCTTTTTTCTTAATAATATAGTATTATATATATTAAAATTAAGTATTATTAACTTGGGTTTTATTATTATTTTTTCTTTTCTTTTTTAAGTTTTTTTTAAGGACTTATACTTAAATAACTTATTAAATTAGCAGGTGCTTTTAAAATTAAGCTGCTATAGCTTTAGTAAAGTTAACTTTACTTTAAATTTAAATACTAGTTTTTTAAAGTTAAAGTTACTTTTTTTATTTTTTTTTATAATTTAAGCTAGTTTAATACTTTTTTTAAGTTTACTTAATAAAGGCTAGTAGCTAAAGGTTTAAAACTTAGTATTATATTTATTTATATTATCTTTTATAATAACTAGTTTTTTTTATATCTTTTTTTTTTTAAAGGCTAGCTTTATTTTAATAGCTAATATAGCTATTTTTAATATTTTTAAAAGGTTTATTATAATATCCTTTTTTAAAATCTTTTATAAATACTAGGCTATAGCTTTTAATAATAAAATAGCCTTCTCCTTTATACTTATTTAAGCTAAATATATATTTACTAATACCTTTTTAAATTTTTATAAGTAGTATAATATAATTAAGCAGAAGGCTATAGTTAGGCTTATAATAAGCTTTTACTAAGTTTAACTTTAGCTTTTAATAACTAAGGTATTTATTTTATTATATTTTTTAAAATATATAAAAGTAGTATATATATTAATTATAATTTCTTTTAAGCTAGGCGCTAACTTTTTAAGGTTATAATAAGTTATAAATTTAAAATATGCCTTTTTTTATACTTATAATTATTAATTTAAAAAAGTAAAGCAGTAGCTAAAATAGTATTTTACTTATTTATATATAAAATAAACTAGCTTACTTAATAATATAAAAAGCTATTTATTAATATATATATTTTTAAAATTTATATAAGGTAAAAGGTTTTATAATATATTTTATTTAAAAAATAACTTAAAGTATATATATTTAAAACTTCCCTTAGCTTAAAGCATCTTCTTAAAGTATATAAAAGGCTTTATATATAAGGCCTTAGGCTAGTTTATTAAAGCAGGGCTAGGTTACTTATATAACTAACTGCTATAATACTAACTATTACTTTAGCTATAATATTTAATAAGTATTAGTAATAAAGGCAGTAGTAATTTTAATATTAAAGTTAAGGGTTATACTTATAAAGTTTACTAAAAGCTATAATAAGGTAAAATTAAAAAGCCTAAAGTAAGGCTTATAAAATAGCTTACTACTTTTTAAAAAATAGTAAATAATATTATTAAGTTAAAGCTAAATTCCTTTACTAAAATATAATTAAGGTTTTTCTTAAACCTTTTTTAAATAATATATTTATAAGCTTTTATATAAGCCTTTTTAAATTAAGCTTTTTTTAAATTTTTATATATATAAATTATAGCTTTAGTAATATTAATTATTATTATAAAGGCTTTTATACTTTTAATAAATATAGCTAATTAATTAACTGCTTTTTTTTATAAGGTTTTATTTTTTAAGCTTATAACTATTTATTTAATAAAGTCTTTTAAGTAATAGTCTTTTACTTAAGTTAGTAAAAGGCCTATTAAAGGATAATTTTTACCTTTAGCTTTATAAAAAGCTATATAAGCCTTAGTTAAATATACTTTTAAAAACTTATTTAGCTTTTATTTTAATAAATTATTAAGTTTTATATTAAAGTTAAGTATATATATAAAAGTAAGAAATTAGTTTTTTAATATATTATAAAATATATTTAGGTTTTTTATAATAGTAGTTTTATTTAAGGCTTTATTATTAATTTTTTATAAAAAATTAGTAAAATTTATAAACTTAGCTGCTAAGCTAATAAGGTTTATATTAATATATTTAATTATATAATTAAAAGGGATAGGATTTTTATTATTTAAGAATACTTTTAAGTAATTTAGCTAGTAAAAAATAAAATAGGATTTATTAAATAAGGTTATTATTATAATATATATATACTTTATAGTATTTCTTATATTACTTATATTATTTTAATTATTATCCTTTTTTAGTTTTAAGTAGTATTTTATTTTAGGCTTTAATAAGTTTAAAAGGTTTTATATATTAAACTATATATTAAAATTAGGTTTTAAATTTTAATTTAAAAAAAAGTAAATAAAAAAACTAAAGTTTTTAATTTTTAATTTATTTTATAATAATTATATAATTCCTTTTAATAAGTTTATATTTATAATAAAAGCAGTTATAAATTTAGCTATTAAGTTTAAAGCTATAGTAATTTATAATTTTATTTTTTAATAAGTAAAGGCCTGGCTTTTTAAGCCTAGTTTAAGAGATAAAGGTAATTACTATAATTAGCCTAGCTTAATTAAACTTTTAGGATTTTATAATTTTAATAATAATTTAAAAAGGTTTTTTTATAATAATATATATAATATAGCTTTTATATTAAAAGTATTACCTTTATAAGTTTTAATAAAATAAATAGGTTTTAAAAAGAAGTAAATAAAATAATATATAAGCTTAATAAGTTATATAAGTTAATATATTAAGAGAATATAAGTAATACTTAGCTTTAACTAGCTATATAGCTATATTCTTTACTACTTATAAAATATAAATATATTATAAATAAATTATTTTAAATATAATAAAATACTAATAACCCCCTGTCTTAATTATTATAAAGGAGATGCAGGGGTCTTTAATAAAAAAGAGGTCTTAATAAAATAAAATTAATTAATTAACTAGCTAGTAAGTGTATATATATAGAAGTAAGAGACTGGATCCCTAGGGCCTCTATATAGCTTTTTATTAACCTTCCTTATAGTTACATGACCGACCCCTCTGGAAGGGGCTCTCAGCCTACTGTTCCTGCCGTCCCCTTCACTCACAGAGCAACATAGCTGCGGGAGACATCTTCGGACGGATCGGAAACAAGCAAGCAAAAGGCAAGGCTTGCATGATCTCATCAGTCATCGATGAGATTTGACAGGGCCGCAAAACAGCCTTCATCACATTCACAATCCAGGCGCTTCTATTTATACATTTCGGATTTCAACGGCTCACTCACCTGTACAGTAGTGTAGGAATAACCGAACATCACTTCCACGCAGAGCAGGCTAGCGTCCGCTGTCGGCATGATGATCTTCTCAGCTCAACTCAAAGAAACCGTGAGACGATGTATGTATTACATACTCGTACATCCACAGCCTTGCTGACCGAGAATGCTTCGTCCGGAAACGGCCATAGTGCTCATGACAGCATGGCATGGAAGCTGCCCGAACGTTGAACATGCGCAAGCTTTGAGTTTGGCTTCGGCGGCACCTTGAATACCCAAGTCCAGCCACGTCCACGCCACGTCAGCTCATTGGCTACGGACGAGCCGTAGAAGAGAAGCCGAAGAAGCTCTGAGGAAAACACAAAGAGGGGAGCAACAAGAGCGAAACACGAGCAGCTCGAGTAGCACAGTATTGGCCCGACGGAGTTGTTCCACACTCCCAGTCTTCCCTCTTTAACCGCTACAGTAGGTAGACACCATACTGAGCCGCCCGTAGATTGAATCATGCCTCATCGGCAGGCCGGAAGGGTGAGGACCTGCGCTAGTGTCGAGCAGATCGTGTAAGATCGGCGCCGCCTGGACAAATCTCCATCAATCGTTTGCCGGTCGATGGGGATTCCGATCCGCCAAAAGTGACGCTGTTGACGCTCTCTCAGTCCAACGATCCAGTTGCACCTCAGCTGCATCATCAGTGATCCACCCCAATCGAAGATGCTGCAACGGGTGACAAGGCTGCTGCGTCGTTGACAGCGCAATATGATCGATGAGAGCCACCCCCCGACGAAACGGGCGCAAGGGTGACTGGTTGCGAGGCCCTCGTCCATTGAGGTTCCCCGGTCCTGTTGAGGCGTCCAAGCGCTAGATGAATGATCGATTGAGACATGACGCCTCAACCCATCCTCGGCTGAGAGCTATGGAAATTCCGCCTCGTGTTCGATTTAACCGGAAACCTTCTTTCGCTAGCTGTGTTGCTGCCCGTCGTATATGCAGGTATTGCGCAGATGGCTGACTGGCTGGTGTTGCCTGTATGGAGGTATTCGCATGCACGTCCCGTCCACAGTCTGGCTTCTGATGGAGCGACGTCTCAACATGTGGATTTGGCCCAATGCCCTCGAATTGAGTATGTAGTTGGCTTATATGTATTACCGGAGTCTCCCGTAATGGCGCGTTCCTGAGGCCGTCTTGACAGTGTCGATTGTAACACCCAATCAGCAACCACTCAGCTGCAACGATCGAACCTCAGCTGATCCACGGCAAAGCTATGAGCGCAGCAATTCGCTGTCCCAACGGCAGGGTTGATCGGCCGCGATGTCATACACTGGCCGTCTGACATCACAACGTTGGTTTCACCGCTCGGCCTCCTCCAAGATTCGCGTACACAGGTGGATCGACGCCCACATTTTGGGTTTCGCCAGCTGTTGACGCTATGTGATGGCACGGCTCCGTGGCTTGCCAACTTGCCTACATCGGCCACAGGCAGCAAGTCGATCGACAGGCCGAAGTTCCTCAAGCCATTGGCCGTAATGGCATCTTGGCCTGGTCAGCGATTATATGAACCCCGACGACCACCCGGCTCTCCGAGCACTGCTCGTTACTGTTGTCTCAACACTTCAAAGGGCAGCCGGACAATCGTTTCTTGCAGATATAGCAAGTCTCTCGTTCTAACACAAAGATAACCTTCTCTCAAACGGTTAGCATCCCCCCCTTAGAATAACTCATAATCATCAAGACTCACAGCTGACAGTCCCCCAACAGCCATCATGCAGCCTTCCATTCTTCTCGCCCTTCTGGGGTCGACAATGGTCGATGCCCTTGCCCCTCGTGCTGACGCAGGAAACTGTGCCTCATCGTATAATGGACAGTTCCAGGTCACTGCCTCCAAGATCAACAAGCGAGACATTGAAGTCAGTTCCATGCCAGCCGATGATGCCTTCCTCCCAAATGGTCGTATCATGCTAACATGTCCTATAGAAGCGAGACTGCAGCAACCCGAACGCCTTGCTGCTGACGCTCAACAACGGCATCCTGAAGGATGCCCAGGGCCGCACCGGTTATATCGCATCCAACGACCAGTGGCAGTTCGACAACCCCCCTCAGGCAAATGCTCTCGTGACAAGTGGCTTCTCCGCTTGCGACAACGGCGCGCTGGGGCTCAAGGGCTCAACCACCTTCTGGCAATGCCTCTCAGGCAACTTCTATAACCTGTATGACCGCAACTGGGCACCCCAGTGCCAGCCGGTAGAGCTTGTTATCCTGCCTTGCGGTGGTGGCAGCGCTGGACACAGCAACAAGGGCAGCGAGGCGGGCAGTGACGATAAGGGCGTCAACCAGGCTGTGACTGCCATCCCCGATGGCCAGCCGCAAGCCCCCGTCTCTCAGGGAGGTGATGGTCAGCCTCAGGTTCCTCCTGTCACTCAGATCAGTGATGGTCAACCTCAAGTCCCAACGGGATCACCTGCTCCTCCTGTCACCCAGATCAGTGATGGTCAGCCTCAGGTTCCAACGGGATCACCTGCTCCTCCCGTTACCCAGATCAGCGACGGTCAACCTCAGGTCCCAACCGGGTCTCCTCAGCCGCCTGTCGCTCCCCCCGTCACTCAGATTAGTGATGGACAGCCCCAGGCTCCCACAGGCACAGGATCGCCAGTGGTCCCCCCTGTCGGTACTGGTACCGGTGTTCCCACGAGCCCTCCCTTCTCGCCCACTCAGCCTCCTATCAGCGGTAGCTCCAAGGTTCTTCCCGGCCTTTCAGTTGCCGTTGCCGTTGCGCTGCTTGGTATGGTTGCCTTGTAAAGAGGAGATCAAGCGGCTGAGGCGTTAGTTGGCTCGACGCGTTGCTTCCTGATTTTGTTTGCTGGGGAGGCCATCCCTGGCTAAAGACTTTAGACACAAATGAAAGACTGTCGAAACATGATTGGCATTATCGTTTTGTGCCCATCTCCACTGTCTTCGATGCATTGTTGACCTTGATATTTGGTGGTGTTGCAATCTGGCAGTCTTGTAATGCTGTGGAAAACGGAGGGCGAGGTTTCGCTAGGAGGGAAAGACGCCTTCTACGATGTTCGTTTTGATCACGAGAACACGGACGTGCTTCGGGATGGATTATGAGGTGTATGAACATGGTCAATCAGTGTCGTCCGGACTTGGTGAGTAGAGAGACCTTGGCAACGAAGGGTGAGATGGAGCAGCTCATTGCTGCTGGTGTTTGCTTTGCTTCAAGTTGAGATAATGGGTGGTAATTCAATTGAACCAGAGCTTTTTCTTTTCTCTATTTTAGAGACCTCGGATCGTGACTGAGATGGCGATGAAACCATATCGACGACCTTTCGAAGGCTAGTTAGTTGAAGCGAGAAGAATGTCTGGATCGTGACGCAAGTCGAGTTTGAAGAGAAGTCGTCATTGAAGCTTACGTAATCGCACCTGTCGTTGCACCTTCCGCACTTGCGCCGTGCTGCCACGCATTTCTGCCTCGTTCACGATTTTGACACGCGACAATCTTCATCACTCTTTTCCACAGCAAATCCACCAGATCACAATGTCGGAATACTGGAAATCTACGCCCAAATACTGGTGCAAGCACTGCTCAGTCTACGTCCGCGACACGAAGCTCGAGCGCGCAAACCACGAGGCGACAGCAAAGCATCAGGGCGCCCTGAAGCGCTCGCTGCGAGACCTGCACCGCAACCACGAGAGGGAAGAGCGGGAGAAGGAGAGGGCGCGAAGAGAGATCAACAGGCTCAATGGCGTCGTTGGCGGATCGTCGTCCAGCTCGTCAGCCGCGACGGCCAGGACGGCAGCACCGACAGAAGCTCAGCTCAAGTCTCAGCGGGAGCAGCTGGCTGCGCTGGGGGTTGCGATTCCGACTGATATCCGACCCGAAATGGCCATGCCGGGCGAGTGGACGGTTACAAAGACGACTATAATCGAAGACAGACCAGAAGCGGACGGCGAAACTTCGATCGAGGCCCGGGCAACAGGCGTCAGGAAGCGCGAAGAGACGGACGAGCAGAAGGAGGAGGAGGAAGCCATGCGAGGACTCTTCAAGAAGCCAAGGCGATGGGGCCGCGACTCCAAGACGATGCCGGACGACGAAGACCAGGATCTAGACGCGCTGCTGAGCAACGCGGTGCCGTTGAAGACGGAAACCAAGAGGGAAGAAGACGCAGTGAAGAAGGAGGAAGATGCTGACGATGGCGACTCTACAAAAGTGAAGATTTTGAAGGAAGAGGACGTTTCTATCAAATCAGACCCCGACGCTGAGTTGCATGGCAAGGAGCCGGCTGTTGATCGAGAACCAGTTGTCAAGGCGGAAGAGACAGGAGAGTCGAGCGGCATCACGCCAGTGGTTTTCAAGAAGCGCAAACCAAAGGGCATCCGCAGCAAGTGAGCAGCGTCGACACTTGTCTGTATCCCATTCCAGAGTCTGAAGTCATCAAGCAACCAAAATCAATTCGGCGTCTTTTTACCGAACCCAACCACCCTGCGAAAAGGCTGCGAATGCCCTTTTTCTCAATTACTTCCGTTTGAGGCAGCAAGGGGAATAGCTACCTAGTGCAGGTCGATTGCTAGCTGATTAATCGCACGGCCTTGAATCCCGATGGGTTTCAACCAGGATCACAGCGCTTTGCAGGTTTACATGCCGAGATAGCCGCTTGATGGCCCTCCCAGGGCCGGGATTGGGCAGTGGGTAGGATCTCAGGATACCATCTCGGTGGTTCCTTATCCGCTGGCAGTTTTACCTAACCCACGCCGACGGAGGAAGAGTTGCTCAGTCGCAAAACCGACGAGAGTCCCCATCTTGATGCTTGAGTAAGCAGCGAGTCTTCTAGAAGTCGCGATAAAAACCTGTTGCGCAAAGCAGCCGGGCGTCGGGTTTTTAGGCTGAGGACAAGGGACAGGAGCCCCGAATCGCTCACTCATTTGCCAGCTTAATTCCCTACTCTTGACTCTTAGACCCCGCCATCACGGAGCTCGAGAATTGCGTCACGACATCTCGTGTATAGATTAAATTGATTGCCATTTCTCCGCTGCTGCTACCCCACCAAGCAGCTCAGGAACCTTTGCGACAGCTTCAAATACCTTGACAAGTCCCGCAATTTTGTCCACCTCTCTATCGCACTCAAAACAGTTTCCTCTTCTTCATACTAGCAATCTTCAATTCCATTGAAAGTATCGTTGAATTGAGCAAAGATGGCTTCTAACCCTCCTGCCAAATGTTGCGTTGTCGGCACCCTTCATGAGTAAGTCTTGGCTTTTGATTTTCTTTTCTCTTGGCTCTCTATCAGATCTCATCTGTACGGATAGCTCAACCCCGGTCCGTCAGAGCGCCTCTCTCATTACTTGCATATCAACTCGCCCCGCGTAGAGAGAGAGAGAGAGAGAGGCAGTGAACAGATTGGGATACACCACAACTCGCAGATTAATGCAAAGATGAACGCGATGTCAATTCTTTCAAACCTCTGCTAACCCTTTCTCTAGGGGTGAGCCCAAGGGCAAGGACATCAAGATCGACGGCAACATTGACGCCTACCTGGCCACTCCCCCCGCCGACAAGGCTCGCGAGGGCAAGGGCATCCTCTTCGTCCCCGATGTCATTGGCATCTGGCAGAACAGCAAGCTGCTGGCCGACAATTTTGCCGCCCAGGGCTACACCGTCCTGATGCCCGACATCTTCAACGGCGACGCCCTCAGCCTGAACCGGCCGGGCGACTTTGACTTTGGGGCCTGGATGACCAAGGGATCGACTGGCGACAACCCGCACACCCCCGAGGCCGTTGACCCCATCATCATCAAGGGCATCAAGGCGCTGCGTGATTTGGGCATCAAGAAGATTGGTGCCGTTGGCTACTGCTTTGGCGCAAAGGTAAGCGCGTCCGCTCATGAATTAGAGGAATATCATTACTGAAGCATGTATGTCTGCAGTACGTCGTCCGCCACTACAAGGACGGAATCGAAGTCGGCTACGTGGCGCACCCGACCATGGTGGACGAGGACGAGCTGGCTGCCATCACCGGCCCTCTGTCCATCGCCGCCGCCCAGACGGACACCATCTTCCCTGCGGAGAAGCGCCACAAGTCGGAGGAGATTCTGATCAAGACGGGCCAGCCCTTCCAGATCAACCTGTACTCACACGTTGTGCACGGCTTTGCGGTGCGCTGCGACGTCAAGGTCAAGGCGGAGAAGTTTGCCAAGGAGCAGGCCTTTTTGCAGGCTGTGACTTGGTTCGAGGAGCACCTGTAAAGGGGCGAATGATGGGGAAGAGCAGAAAAGTTCTTTGCGAGCGGTCGGTTACTGTAATTTCACATATATTGCAACAATACCACTGAAGTTTACGTCTGCTTTCTTGGTGTCATCATGGGCTGTGTGCGTTGAGTGCTGCATACATGTACAGTAGGCCATCAAGGTGTCACCAGACGGAATCTGATATTGTTTGCAGCCCTTGTTTTCCACATCAAGATATACCTCTTAGAGCTGTTCTCCTATATATAACCTTAATCGAGCATTTTTCTTATGAGAGGCATCATTACATCATCTTGGAAACTTCAACATTGAAGCCATCTACAACATGCTCGTCTCCTGCATTTACGCATTCAGCGGCTCACGTCACGCCCAAGCCCGCAATTCAGCGCCTGGACCTCCTGTGGCAGCAGCCCCCACAGCGCCTCAACGCCCCTGCCCGCCAGCCACTTTTGGCCACATGCACCTCAACTTTCCAACGTCCAACGTCCGTCATCCACCTCTCGATTCTCAACAACCTCGCATGGCCAGAGAGAGTGCACGCCTGTCTATCTCTCTCCAGCCTTTCGCCCTGCAACTCTGGCTGCTATGCTTATATGGATGCGACACGTCTCGAACATCATCATCAGCAGCAGCATGATCAACTAAGTCCTCCGCCGGGATGGCAGTGACCACGGACCCAATGAGCCCGATGGCCTCGTCCACCAGCCTGGCCGGGCATCACGAGGCATGGGGAGATGAGAACACGCCTCCCTTTGTTGACGAAGATGGGAGCAAAGGGGTCAATGGGGGCAGCGGGCATGGGAACATCAATGGACACACAAACGGGAGCGGCAGCGAGCATGAACATGGAACTGGCCACCGACATGGCCTGTCAAACGGAAGCGCAAATACCAGCGGCAATGCGTCCAGCAATGGCAACGGCAGTAGCAATAAGAACCCTCCCTCCGTTAGCCAGAGATCAAGTTCGAGCAGCCGCCGGCAGAAGGACGACACGCACCGGCAGCGCAGCAACAGCAGCACCATCGGACGAGCCCCAAGCAACGACAACGTTCCCAAGCTGACGGCCGCCGAGATCCAGCAGCTGACCAACGAGCCCAAGTCGCTGCCCATCGCTTCAGTACCAGATTCTCTGAGCAACAACGCCATTGACGAGCGAGAGGCGATCCGACAGGCGCTGATGAAGCCCTCCGACTTGCAGCGCACAGACGAGGCATTCCCCTATGCCAATGGCATCGCGACGTTGCCCAGAGAAGCCCGCACGCCCATGCGCCGCTCCGTGTCCGCGTCTCGAACGGTCTCGACACCGCCGACGAGCCGTGGCGGCCAAATGCTGCCTCCCCCGTCTCCCCGGCGGCTGTCCTTTGCACCAACACGGCCGCAGGGGCTGAACCTCGACGGCGCAAACGGGACTGCCACACCATCGCCGTCCATCGTGACCGGCTCTCCGGCCTTTGCGACGCAGCAGCCCGTCCAGCCTCCCAGCTCCGGCGCTCGCCCTCCCTCTCCGATTCCGCCCATCATCCCGCTTCCGCCCATGTCGATTCCCACCCATCTCCAGCTGGAACTGGCACAGCAGCGTCCCAGCCCGCTCTATATCCACCAGTCCTATACTAACGACATTCCATACGAGTCACACGCCGTCAAGTTCGAGCGTCTCAAGAATGTCCTCTTGATACCCCCCTTCCTGGAGCGCACGCTCTACTTCGGCGCTCTCGCATGCCTGGACGCCTGGCTGTACACATTCACCATCCTCCCCATCCGCTTCACCATGGCCCTGACTGTGCTGGTGCGGTGGTGGATCTACGTCATCTTTAAGGAAGTCAAGTGGCTGGTTGGCTTTGTCTGGTACGGCCTCGGCAGATTATGGAAACGAGCGCGGGCAGTTCGTGGCCGCAGAATGAGCGACGTCTCCGACAGCGGCCGATCACGCAGCTGCAGCAGGGCCAGCGAAGCCTCTGTCGACGGCACATCGCCTGGCGTCCGTCACCGGCCAAACGGCGTCCGGGCAGACTCTCGGGTTCGGGCCGGCGGCGATGCCACTACGCCTAAGACGCCGTCACTTCCGGCCCGACGCCCTGGACCCAAGTCCGGCTCGTTCCGCCATCGACGCACCAAGTCGATGCCGTCCAACCTCTCGACGTTCCACAAGGCCGACCTACTACAGGGTGCCGTCATCATATGCAGTTCGCTGGTGCTGATGAAGCTGGACGCCAGCAGGATGTACCACCTGATTCGCGCACAGTCGGCCATCAAACTGTACGTCGTGTACAACATCCTTGAAGTCGGAGACAAGCTGCTCTCTGCACTGGGCCAGGACATCCTCGAGTGTCTGTTCAGCTCTGAAACGCTATCACGCAATTCATCCGGCCGATCCAAGGTCCTGCTGCCCCTGGGCATGTTTGTGCTCGCCTTGATATACTGCGTCCTTCATTCCGTCGCTCTGTACTACCAGGTCATCACCCTCAACGTGGCCGTCAATTCATACTCCAACGCCCTCCTTACCCTCCTCCTGTCTAACCAGTTTGTCGAGATCAAAAGCACAGTCTTCAAGCGCTTTGAAAAGGACAGCCTGTTCCAGCTGACCTGCGCGGACATTGTCGAGCGCTTCCACCTCTGGATCATGCTGCTCATCATCGGCATGCGCAACATCGTCGAGGTTGGCGGCCTATCTGTGCCGGGCGCCGGTATGAACGACGATCCCACAAAGGCCGCGCCTATGCACTCGCCCAGCATCCTCCCGCACAGCTTCACCGTTCTGCCGTCCTGGGTCATGTCGGGAGAGGTGCTGTCGCCATTCCTCATTGTCGTTGGGAGTGAGATGCTCGTGGACACGATCAAGCATGCGTACGTGACCAAGTTCAACAACATGAAGCCCAAGTTCTACAGCAGGATCCTCGACATTTTGTGCAAGGACTACTACACCAATGTGAGTTTTCACTTGTCTTTCAAGCCCTCTTGATAACGATCTTTATATCAGCTAACAAAACTTGGCAAGGCCTTTACAACTCCCGCCCTCACCAGAAGACTCGGGCTCGCCGTCATCCCCTTATCCTGCCTCTTCATCCGCGCCTCCATCCAGACATACCACATGCTCCTCTCCGCCCACGTCCCCATGCCGCTCCCCATATCCACGCAGACCTCCCTCACGGAAGCCTCGGCGACGCCCTCGTCGCCCGCCATGATTGCCGCCCTCAACCGCTTCGACTCCCTCATCCGCGACTCCCTTGGCCGCGCCACCTACGGCTACCCTTACGATCACCCTCTTAATTCCCGTCCATGGTATAAATGGACTTCAGACGACGTCATTGCAGCCGTGACCATGGTCGTCGTATTCTTCATCATCTTCCTCGTCCTCCTCATCATAAAACTCCTCCTAGGCATGATCCTGCTCAAGTACGCACGGAACCGCTACGCAAAGATGAAGCAGAAGGAAGCCCTCGTTGCGGCAGGCAAGGCCGAGGTAGACAGCTACAAGGCCAACGGCGTGCGGGTCGGAGGCTTTGGTGAGGTGGAAGTCACAGAGGACAAGAGGCGGTGGATCAATGCCGATCCGAGCGAGGGGCTGAAGAAGAGGAAGAAGGGGGAGGAGAAAGCGACTGACGAGGGGGATTATCAAGGGGTGTTTCGGTATGATATGGTTGAGAAGAGGATTTGGTAGGGGATATGGGAGTGTATCCTGTCTGTACGGGAATACTGCCGTTACAGAAAGTTAAATAGCATTGAAAATTAATGGATCACAAGCATCAAACAGTCAGTTAGTCTGTCAAAGAGTTAAGCACATCACAATTGCACAGAAGCGTTTCGAAATACTATCCTGTTTCGACCCATCAGGGGATTCGCAAGCCCCAACAGAAATGTATATATATATAGATAAAATATGTGGACTGATAGATAATCTATGTTGCTTCGAAGCCAGTCCGTTCTATGTGAAAACGCTCCCAATTCTCAATTTTTATCAAATAAGCCTCCCTTGGTTTACCCTCATTCCCATCCATTTTCGTTCTTTAGTGATATGTGCAACTCATCAAAAGGGGTATAGTGTACGTCATGTCCTCATGTCTTCATCGTCTAGATGCCAACCGACTTTTACGGTCGACATCTGTTCTCGGCATCTTTTAATCGAAACAACTTCCCGCTTTACTGAGAAGCACTGGCCAGCTGCAGCAGGTTGGGGTGGTTGGCAAACAGCTCCGGCTTGGCTCCGTAGAGGGCCTGCACGGTGCGGCTCAGGAGCTGGCGCGTCTCGGGCTCGAGCTGCTCCTGAGGGGGTGACAGGACCTTCTCGAAGATGCCCAGCAGCTGAGGGGTCAGCTGCTGGACGGTCTCGTTGTTTTGATCGTCTGCAGGATGATTAGTACTTGTGAAGCCCAACTGAACGCTTCAGACAAGGATTACTTACAGAGGGCGTGAATGCACTGGTAGATGGGCTCGTTCTCCTCGTACTCCTCCTGCAGAGGCAGGTTGCTGACAATGGCAGGGAGAGCCTGAGCAACGAAGCCGGCGTCGGCATGCTTGATCATCATGCGCGACAGGGCTCCAGCAACGTTATCCGTAATACGCATCTCCTGGATGGCCAGCATGGGCTCGAGCTTCTCCCACAGCTGGGGGTAGATAGGCACCGTCTTGCCGGTGTCGGAGGAGTGATAGACCAGCAGACCGACAGCGTAGGCGGCGTTGGACTTGGTCAGGGCGTCGGGGTCCGAGAGACGTCGCATCAAGGCCTGGCCAATAGACTCGGTGTAGGGGGTGATAGCCTCGCCGGTGTACTTGATGACCTCGGCAATGGTGCCAATGGCGGTTGAGCGCTGCAGATCCTCGGTGGAGCTCGCCATCTTGTAGATGGCCTTCTCGAAGATCTTCCACAGCTCGCCAAAGTCGCGGCCCAGAGCAGCAGCAAGGCCGACAACGACATCCAGAGCGGTGTCAATCGCCAGCCAGTCGTACTCAGAGGAACCGGCGTCCTCAACCTCCTGCTCCTCGTCCTCGTCGCCGAGATCCAGCTGGCAAGGGTGAGAGCGGGTGATGAGAAGGGTGACCACGGAGACAATCTCCTGCAGCATGCCATCCTTGGAGGCCAGAACGGCAGGACCGCAAGCCTTGAGGGTAGCGGCAACGTTGCGGTTAATGTCAGTGACAACAGACCTGGTTTGCTTGGTTAGCAAAGCCCATCGAAACTTGAGACGATGATAACAGTGTAGAGAGGATGATTGCAGATCAGAAGTAGATTACACGCGTTCTCAGCAATTGCATTTGCATCTGAGTGAGCTGGGTATAACGCAATGTTGTCATCATGCAAAGGTGGGGAATAGTCAACAGAGAGACAAGACAAAAGAGATCAACATACCGGTCGCTATCGTTGGCCCAGATAGTCATGGTAGACTCGTGAAGAGTCTGGCCAATCTTGACAATGGAGGCCGGGGGAGCAGGAGTGGGAGGGAGACCTGCCTGCCACTTAACGCCAGCACTCTCCTCCCAGACCTGGAAGACGCGAGCATACATGCGCCAGAGGGTGGAGATGGCAGTCTTGCGGCAGCCCTCGTAGTCGTGGTCAGTGAAGGGCACGACCTTCTCGATGGTCTTCTCGACATAAGTCTCGAGGTTGTTCATGTTGCAAGAGTTGGAAATGACGTCGCCGAGGACGTCAAGGGCAATCTCCTGCTCCATGGCAACGGCGGTGGTGCCGCCAGCGAGGTCGGCAAGATCCTCAATGTCATCCCAGTCATCCTCACCCTCGCCGATATCAACGTCCTCGGCGTTGGGGGTCTTGACCTTGATACGCTTGCCGCCGACAATGAGGTGGCCGTCCTCGAGCTGGCTGGGGTCAATGCCGGGAATGTCCAGCTCCTCGTCTTCCAGCTCAAGGGAAGAGAAGATGCCCTTGAAGACACCGTCGAGGAAGTGCTCGAACTGCTCGTGGTAGACCTTGGACAGGTTAGACCAGAGGATGAAGCTCGTCTCCTTGAGTCTGGGGTTGTCCAGGCTGAGGGCTTCCTCGCTGGCCTTCATGAGGTCCATGACGTAGGGCTGGAAGGCCTCAGGGCCAACAGCCAGGGCAATGCGACCCAGACTGTCGCAGGTGGAGCTTCTCAGGTTCATGGCGTCCTCGCTGTCCTTGATCATGACAAACTTGCCGAGGGACTTCATGACGTTCTCGAAGTAGGGCTGGAAGTCCTTCTCCATGGAGGCGGCAATGGCACCGAGGGCAGAGGCAGCGGCGGCCTTGACGCCATAGTCATCGTGGTCAAGCAGCTTGACCATAGGGCCGATAAGCGTAGGGCCGTACTGAGCCATGATCTTTGTGTCAATGCCGTCGCCAAAGGTGTCGAGAGCACCGCAGGCGCAGCGGATGATGCTGATGTTGGTCTTGTCAGAAGGACCCTGCGAGGCAGACTCGAGGTTCTTCAAGACAGCCTCGATGATCTGCTGGTGGTGGGAAGCCATCTCATCGGCCATCTCCTCGGCGAGGTGAATGAGGCCAACAAGGGCGGCGTGTCGGACCTTGAGCTCGGGGTCACACAGCAGGTTGATGATGGTGGGGAGGAGAGGCTGGAGCTGGGTAGAGATGAAGTCAGGAGCACCCTCGGCAGCGTTGCCGAGAGCCAGCATGGCGGCCATGCGGTAGCGGGGGTCCTGGTGGGTGGCGAAGATGGGGAACTGCTCAAGCAGAGGCACAATGACCTGGCGAGGAGGCAGCTCGTTGGCCAGCTGGTCAATCAGGCTGATGGCGACTCTGGCGGGCGACATGTCCTCCTCGTCATCAGAGTCGAGGTCGATGACGATGTGCATGGCCTTGACCATGAGCTCGGCGCCAACATCCTTCATGGCCTGAATCTTCATGCGGCGGAAAGAAACGGTCTGGATGAGGAAGCCAAGAGCCTGCGAACGAGGGTCGTCCTCAGCGTTGGTGTTGCCGGCCAGCTCAATCATGAACATGAGCAAGTCGCGCAGGTGAAGGGCCAGAAGGGCAGAGTCGTAGGCAATGAAGGAGTGGAACACGTCGAAAACAGTGCCATAGCTCTCCTCGTCGCCAGCCTCAACGGTAGCCTTGAGGATGTTGACCAGGCTGGGGACGAAGCCCTGCATGGTCTTGAGGGCCTGGGGGTCCTCCTCGGGGTCAACGAGCATGAGGATGGCACCAATGGCGCGGACAATGTTCATGCGGACCTCCTTGCTGTCGTCGTTGATGCGCGACTGGAACAGCTGGAGGAGCTGATCGGTGTGGTCGCTGAAGTGCGAAGGGTCATCCTCGAGCATGGCATAGAGGACGAAAGAGCCAACCTCACGGTGCACAACGTTGTCGCTGGTGTTGAGGGGCAGCAGCTGCTTCAGGAAGTCCTCGCCATCGCCAGACTCCATGTCCTCGCCGACGATGCCAGCAACCAGGCGCGCCAGAGAGTGGCGGTTGGGAGCGGACGTCTCCTTCAGGGTGCCCTCGAGCAGGTGCGAGCGCACAAGAGGCTTCTGGTCCTGAGAGGTGGCGCTCCAGAACTTGGAGACGAGGCGCAGGGCCTGGACGGAGGCCAGCTGGCGAATGGCACTGTCTCCATGTGTAAGGGCGATCTCGATGAGCGCCAGAAGGGACTCGGGCTTGGAGTAGTAGTTCTTCTGGAGATCGGCCGTGACGGCCTTGACCTGTTCCGTGTTGGCTGTCGAGGGCAGATGTTAGCAGACGGTCTTTCGTGAAGGTGATTTGATAGAACACTACTTCTATCCTTCCTTCATCTTGCTCGAGCTTCATCTCTTCAACCGTGTGCGCGCGCGTCCACGAGAAGAAGAAGAAGAGGAAAAGTTCTCGCGATAACGCGAGAGAGAACAAGGCAGAGGAGAGGAGGAAGAGATAAGAAAGAAGCAACGAGGGACAGAGCGACTTACGAACTTGGCTGGCCTGCAGCAGCTGAGCGAGCTTTTCCTTGTCCATCTTGACGATTCGCTTGGAAGCAGCGCGACCAAGAGAAATGCAAAAGATGGAGGAAAGAGAGAAAAAGTCCGGTGGACGAGGTGCGAGGAAAAAAGATTTTATTTACTTCGCCTAGAGGGGAAGAAAAAAAAAAATAAGATGCCAGACTCCATCCAGCAGGGACTTTTTTTGCCCCGCTTCGCCGAGGGGTCGGTCCCCAGTTTCCAAGATTGCCAGGCAGCCAGAAGCTCAAACAGCGCCTGAGAAGCTGGAGATTTTGCGCCGAATTATAACCGCACTTTTTATCGGAGAGCTGTTCGAGTTAAGCTGATGCGATAGCTGCTGTTGCTTGCAAGGAGTTGAAGCTAAGGTAGTAGTAGATAAGCGCTAGAAGCTGTCTGTCTACAGGTGTGCGGCCTGTCTATATGACGACTGACGAAAAGGACGGGATGAAGATTGAAGCAGAGACTCCGGACCTAGTGAGAAAAGAAACCAGGAAGTGACAGACCAAAGGAAGAATAACAAAACGCCCAGACTGGCCCTCTTCGAGCCATGAGTTCGCCCAACTGCAGGAAATCGACCAACTGGAAGACGCAACGAAGAAAATCGGCAGCAGGCAGCAGAACCACTCTGCCCTGCCAATGATATCATCGTCTGCGGCTGCAGCTGCTGCAGCTACACCGAAAGACACACCTCGTACCCAACCATCAGCTTGCTGCAGTCCAAGCCATCATTCATCTGAACGAGCTCGTCCACCGTGAGGCCGTGAGCTTGAGCCAGGTCCCAACAGCTGTCATTCTCCGCAACCGTCACGCTACGTCCAGGGCACTTGACAACCACCTCGAGCTTCTCCTCCGGCGTCTTTCGGCCAATGAACCAAAAGAGCACGAGCAGCGACAGCCCGACCAGGACACCAAAGTTGAGCAGCGGCATCATGTCGTGTCGCCATGAAGTCTTGGGCATCGAGTCATGGAGGAATGGCTCGGAATCGCTCGCATCGTCGTCGGCGGCAGGCCCGGAGACGCGCGTCAGACGGCCGTACTGGCAACCCGGCGCGGACTCCCAGAGGCTGCCGTCTGCGTCTCGGAAAGTATAGACTTGGGTGTCTGCATCGTAGCCGACGCGGGTCATGCCCTCGGGGAGGCGCTCTTCGTCAGTGTCGTAGCGAGAGAATCGAGACATGATTGTTTCGGTTCGAAGGGTCGGATGGGTTGAGGCAGTATTGAGGGAGCAAGCTGTGATCTCTGGTTGACTTTAAGTGTGAAAGAATAGTCGCGATTGCGGAAGTTGAGAAGCTTCTAGCAATGTGCTCATGATGATGGAAGATCAGGAAACACGGATCCCGGCCCGATCCAGCAGCAATTATGAAGCAAACACGCGAGAGGCGAAGCACACGACCAAGGGGAAGAGCAGCACAGCACAGCACAGCCAACGTCAGCGGACAGGGAGGTTACGCATTGAGTTCTTTGCAGGTACCGTCTGTTAGCGAAGGCCGCTGCCAATGGGTCACGCAGGGCTGTCCCGCTTATCGGCCGTGACCCGCCATTGCATCATGCCGCTTTGCTGCAGGGATCCATGCTTGCCATGCATCCGTCGCCCAGGACGGTCCGGAGACAATGATGTGACATTTGCTGCTTCGATCGGGTAGGGGATCCATGGAGATGATTACTCCCATCTACGACATTGCCAGATACCTATGGAATCACTGAGAGGTGGTCAGATATGAGAGTACTGAGTCTCAGATACGATGTAAAGCGCATCTTCTTCCGGCATGAGCTTCGTGTCATTCGACTTTCTATACGTTTTTACACAATGGTGCCTATAACGGCTTCTTCATTGGATAGGCATCTCACTTGCACCACAATACCATGCACTTGGCACTTCCCCTCTCATGTAGAGCCAATCGATGCTGCTAAGGTTACAAATGTTATGGAATTAAAAGACCTCGTTGTTACTCGAGTCCATATCGCGAGCGTCAAGCCACACACACCTAGTAGGCAACTACCTTGCTATATGAACTATCGACTACCCTGCAGACTCCCAACCCTGTCTGAAACGTGTCTCGCAAAGGAATAACGGGTTGTATGGGCGCTCTCCAATACACAATAAAATTACCAATATCCTGTACCGAGTATTAAAGCAGCAATATCTCGACCAGAAGTTGTACATTGTAATGACGGACCAGCGATATGCACAACTCTCGTGGCATCTCTTCAATTGAATGTCCCGTCACAGGCGTTTACTAGAGCATTCTGCTTGAGCATCGCTCTACGTTGACCCATTTCCGGCTACTCTTCGGCAACATACGATACCGAGGAAAGCAGCTCGTAACACCATCTTGAGCTGTTTTGGAAACGGATGTGATTGTGCAAGGAGACGGTGCAGCAATGTCTCTACGAATTTACCTTACAAATACCTACTACCTACATGGAAGCTCAATTTGAGACCTACACGGAGTAATGACAAGACTGAAAAAGTCAAACAGCAATCATGCAAAGTGCGTGGGGGCACTGGCTATGTAGTAGTACTCAGATTTGCGGCTCAAGTCAAGCATATCCGATGCCGGTTTCTCACTGGACCACGACATCCATCTGGGTCGCGGCCACACATGCGGGACGAGCCTAGCCCGGATATGTGAACAAAGGATTTGATGAGATTAATGGGGAGCCCAATACAGGCCTAGACGGTCTCCGGTGGCTGTCTGACACAATCAAAGAGCTGCGAGAATGGCCAATGGGACTCGTGGTGGCCCCACGATAGACACACCTTGCAGCTGCCCCTGTACAGCTGAAGGTCGGTGGCCAACAGCCTCATGTTGCCTGGAGCCTCGTGTAGACGGAGTTACATTTACCAGCATTCACCATGTACGTGTACCTCATCTTCAGGCTCCCACTTGAGTCCAGGTGGCGTATTCGTGCCCGATGATTGAGACAACATCAAGCCAGCGTATGTAAGGTATGTATGCTAAGAATATGCCGTCGGGACGATGCGGCTGAAGAGACAGTGTTGGACCAGTGACGAGTGGCGCGCTTGAGATACTGGAAGGGCAACCAGATTGACCCCAGTATCATCCAATAACTCCTCAGGGAGATACCGACCTGCCATTCGACATTGAGGCGTCCCTGCTGGGCACTGGTTGACTGTTATCTAGATTCAACCCTGTTAGTCCCCCGTGGGCCGACCCGAGCAAATATTGGTCGCCTATTGTTGAGGGACTTCATTGGCAGGTACAGCTCCTGGACGGTCTTTCCCTGTTTATACACACAGACCACCAGCTTCCTCGTCCTCGCTCTTCGTCACCTTCTCCACCACCTTCTTCATCATCCTCTCTCTATCCGTCGTTCACTCTCAGAATGCCAGACTCCGACGAAGCTGAGCTGAGCAGTTCACGATGTATAAACGCCATAAGGCGACCGGCGAACCCGGCAAAAGCTGCTCCCAAACGAATGGGTGGGCGGGCCTGCATTCGTAATGGATGGCTCCCGGGGGCGTCTGCATGCTGCATCAGGCTCTGCTGCAGGATTTTGCGGCTGAATCTGCTCCAATGAAAAACTCAAGTCGAGATCAGGGCAGCGTGCCTATATGTATATAGCCCGAAGGGGGCAGGCCATTGCTTCACCCCAAGATGTCTGATGGCTGTCCACATCTTCTGGATATCTCCTCTGAGCACCGAGCATCGATTCTTTTCAACCAACTCCTCTCAACAGCTTCAACTTGTCCCTCACTTAGTGGGCCGGCATCAAAGATGGCACAGATTTCGATTTCTTCGGTGCTTCTGGTGCTATGGCTTGCCGGTCGTGCAGCTGCCGATGGTGGCGATGACTTTGCAAACAATCTCGCCTCGGACCTGGGACCGTGAGTGGCTACCATACAAAGCAGCGAGCCGTTTCTGTCCCTACTTCAAGTCTAACACGCAATGTGCCTAGCATCATCGCCCTCTTTGGCGAACGGGTCGTCATGCAGTTCATGAGCCAGGCGATGGGCATAGCCGACTGCATACTCTTGGCCGTTCTTCCGATTGGCGCCATCACCACGGTTGTAAGCGCTATCAGGGTGGCCGGGCCAACGTCGCTGAAATCCTTCATCGGACGAGCAAGGGAGAATCTCTCAGCGGCAGAGGTTGAGGTTATGTCATCCACATCGGACGAAGTTTGCGAGCTTTGGAATGGTCACAGCGTGGTCAGGTGCCCTGGATCTGCCGATATCTATCAGTTCATCTGCTTGCTTCCTAGGGGCTCCAAGCTGGAATCTTTCTCTGCAATGCAGACTACTATTCGGTGTGAGGAATTGTCAACAGTCATAAAAAGGGGTAAGGTACTTCGAGAGATTAGTAAGTGCAAATCCTTCTATTCCAATTCATTTCCATCTACTAAGCCATGTTGTAAGAAATCACTGGTCTGAATCATGCTTGGGAGTCCTTCAAAGATGTGCTCAGGTATATTCCGGGCAAGATGAAAGTCTATGACCGGCAACTGTTCAACTTCCATGTTGCGTTTTCGCTTCCTCAATTCTGGAGAAGTAAGAAACCAACCACACCGTCTCACATTAACCCCGATCTCGAAGCTGGTAGAGACCAAGATGAGTCGGGCTTCAGCACTCAGATGGAGGTGGATAAATCCGGAATCTCAAAGCTCACATATAGGGCGAGTCGTCCTCCCATTTCCAGCATTGAGTCTGAGAAGATGGAATCTTCCGAAACCGAGTCTGGCAGACTAAAGGATTCGAACGAAGGCAAAGAGACAGATATATTCGTAGTTGTGGATAATTCCGACAACAGTTCTCCAAATCTTCTCCTCAACTGCCACGACAGAGTCAGTCGCGGCGAAATTTACTTCTACGCTGCCTTTGGGGTCATTTTGCAAGTCGGTGCCCTAATCTATTTTGGCATCATTACCTATAACCCACCAGTCAAGGGCGAGTTCTTCCTGAAAGATGGCAAAAGAATAGTCGGCTACGCTTTTCCCTGTGCAGCCGCAGGAACTATTCTTTTGTTCATTGGGTTGTTCATATGTGCGTGGGTGGTCGAAGACAGCACCACGGAAACCTGTTACGAGGCGCCAAATCACCAGTTGTTCGTCGTCTGGTTACAAAAGGACCACACTGTCAATGATCAGGTGTTCAAGCCCTATGCAATCTATCCAGCTGGCGAACGGAAATACATCACGATGTCTCGTCGCAACATCAATCGGCCCGGTCGAGACGAAGAATCGGGACAGCGGTTGGCCAATCACCAAGACAACAACGAGGCGCAAGACCCGCTCAGGAACAGGAGTCTGGCGCCAACCACTCTCTTCGGCTCTCTTATTGCCCTCATTGGGTTCGTTTCACAATTTATTGGAATGAGAGGGCTGAACTGGACAGCATCAGTCGTGCAACTTGTGGCCACACTCATAGTAACTGGGTTTAGGGCCATAGTTCGACGGGGACTCAACAAACCCCCAGTTCGCACTCCCTTGCTGTCGAACACTGAGCTTGACTGGTTCTCTCTGACTTTTGGAAATCTTGCTACAGCTCCATGGGCCAAAGCAAAGCACACCAGTGCGGATGAGCACGTTGCAGCGCAAGAAAAGGCGTCTCACGAATGGAAAGTACGCACTGGAGGAAACCAGCCATATCGTTCTCTACAGAGGCTCCATTCGGACATCACAGAGGCGAGGGAAAAGTCAGCAGCCCACAAGATGATGCTTATGCGCCAAATGCTTTGCAAACTTTCAAAGTGGAAAAGTTCGGTCCGCGGAGAGGCTGCCCTTCTGTCGCGTGCAATCGAAGCAGTCGCGGAAACATTGCTGGGGGGACTGTCTGATACCAAGCTAGTGTGGACTATTCCAGCAAAATACAAAGGAGAGGCCGAGGATATCTTTATAGAGCTCGAGAAGAAAGGGGGCAAGTGGCGCGTCGAGGAACAGAACATTGAGGCAATCCTATCTTTGTGGCTATACTCAACTTCTTCGGCGGGGGATACAGACACTGACCACCGCAACCTCCGCTTATATGGTCCGGTGCACTTGAAAACCCGACTATCCAGGGACCTGAACTGGTGGATGTCAGAAGTACGCCCGGAACTTCTGGATCGTGAGAGCGCCGAGATCTTTGGCCGGGAAGGCGAATGCGCGAAACGCACCAAACAAAAAGCGCAACACCTTGAAGGGGAAGGCTCTGAAAGGGAAGGCTCTGAAAGGGAAGGCTCTGAAAGGGAAGGCTCTGAAAGGGAAGATTCCGAAGGAAAAAACTCTGAAGGGGGGACATCTAAAGGAGACACCTCTGTGAAAAACTCCAAAAAAGCGGTTGTGGGCTTCACCTCCGGGGTTCAAGATGGCACAGACGAAACTGTTAAGACGGACACGGTACAGAATCCCAGCAAGAAATGTCTGGTTGTCGAATGTGAGGACAAACGAGAAAGACTTTTCTCCAGAGACTTGTTATTTGCATTTCTACGCGCAGTTGCGAAGATGCCTGAAGTCATTCTCGAAAGCGCGCGGAGCAGAAGTCAGGTGAAATACAGAAAGATGAAAGACGACTGGAAGCAATTGAAGCTGAAAAGCGACTCTCTTTCTAGCTTGGCCAGAAAGCTCGAGAGAATTGGGTTCGGAACACTGTCGGATATCTACTTTGATCTTGTCATGCCTCTGAGCCTGGAACGGAAACTCACCAACATCAAAGACGTCTTGGACGAGGCAATTGAGCAAGCACAACGATACGAACGAACACGCCAATGGACGAAGTTGGTTGAGACTTGTTGTTGTCTTCTGAATTTGTCACAGCAGTTCGACTTGGAGAATGAATCATCCGGTCCGCTGGCTGTGGCTGTTTGTGTAGAGTTTCTGTACAGACTACGCCACGAGGCTGATCTGCAAGGACGGGAAGGGAGAACCGAAGAGGAGCTTACAACACAACTGAAGATTCTGGAAGAAGAGTTTGCATCTATGGAGGAGAGTTGGAAAGGTTCCTCTGTCTTCTCGAGGATCAGAGACTCCCTAGTAAAGAGCAATGGGGGCTATGCCACGACTTTTGATGTGCTGATTGGCAGTGCACCTAAAGCTATTGAGAAGTTCCCGGAGAGCTTCAATATCCTCGATGAACATCAGGAACTTATGGAGACCAACGACTCAGGGGGGACGCTATACTGGGACGTCGAAGAACTTGGGAAAATCGACAGTTTCGGTTGGTCGCCGCTACATTATGCTGCCAATTGGCAGCTAGATAATGTACGCATTTACATTTTGGAGAGCGGCGATGTACTCAGCCTCCGGGACCTCATGGGACGGACGCCTTTACATCATGCTTGTCTTAACGGTAACAAAAAAGCAGTGGACCTGCTACTTGATTGGGATGCTCCAATTGAGGTTGCTGGAAACGATGGCATTACCCCGATCCACTGCGCTGTACTGAGTGGCAGCATTGACATCCTCAAGAAACTGGTTGACAAGTATACCAGGAAAAGCATACTCCATGTGGATCGTAACGAGAGGCATCCCATTCACTGGGCTGCAATTCAAGGACGAATTGAATTAGTCTTGATGCTCAGAGACGACATCGATCGGACAGACCGTTATGGGTGGGCTTGTATCCATCTCGCGGTGATATATGGGCATACTCATCTGCTCGAGAAAATTATATACCACTTCTCGTCACATATAACCTTGCGCGACGGTGCTTCTCGCACTCCTCTACATCTCGCGGTCGGAAAGAAGTCTTTGAAAGCAGTCAAGGTACTGATTGAGGCCGGTGCCAAAGCCGATGTCAAAGACAAGAGTGGGTTAACTCCGCTTCACATGGCGGTTGACCAGAAGGATATCGCAGACATGTTGTTAGTGCGTGGCGCCGATATCAATGAAGTTGATAATGAAGGCCGCACGCCACTGTATCTGGCGGCAATGGATGGCACACTCGATGTCGTTGCTTTGTTGATAGACAAGGGTGCACGTGTCGCAACCAGAGCAGAGGATGGGAGAACGCCTCTACACATGGCCCTCAGTCGGGGTCAAGATGGGCTTGAGATTGCAAAGAAACTTTTGGGTTCTTTTTCTGTTGTGTTTCAAAGAGATCTGTATGTCAACGCCAGCGCCGTCGACGGCGCCACTCCTCTTCACATCGCAGCAGAACACGGCCCACTTGAAGCTGTTCAGATATTGTTGGATCTGAAAGCGGACATTAACCAAACGGATGACTTTGGACAAACCGCATTGCTCATCGCGATATACAACACAAAATGGGGCATTGCAGAGTTGCTACTCCAAGCTGGGGCTGATGTAAATGCCGATAGTCGAGTCGGATACACGCCGTTGCTTGGTGCAGTGATGGGGGGCCAGGAGCAAATTGTGGGGGAATTGCTGAGAAAGGATGTTGATGTCAACGCTGCTGACGAAGACGGATTTTCGTCCATTCACCTTGCGATTTCTCGAGGCCATTCCAACATCCTTCGGCGACTATTGGATTCTGGCGCGAGCATCGGTGCAGTTGTTGACAGCCAAACACCATTACACATTGCTGTTCGCCACGGAAGGGCGGGAATGATACAAATCTTGCTCAGAAGGGGAGCCGATACCAAGCCACTGAACAATTTCGGCTTCACACCGCTACAATACGCTGTGTATCGCGGAGATCTTGAGATTGTTAAGGAATTTGTTACGCATGACAAGTCCTCCGCGCCTGATGCTCCCAAGGCCGCTCTGCAAAGGGGTGAGGATGGTGATACCCCACTGCATACTCTGTGTCGATGGATCTGGTTGGGGAGGAATGAAAGTCAAATTTGCGAGATACTTGAGGAGCTCTTGAGTGTTGCCCCAGACATTGACATGATCAACGCCATGAATGACGAAGGCCGCACACCATTGGATTTGGCACGCTCTCAGATGGATGAGTATCCCGCTTTTATCAAGAAGTTGACAGAAAAGGGAGCAAAGCCGAGCAGCGACAACCAACCCGAAGAATCACTGGTCATTGAGGCTTCCTTGGATGCCTAAATGCTGCGAGAAATGCTTGCAAGTCGTTCTCTGATGGCAGAGCCGTGGCCGTTGAAGATGCTGCGATGAAACGAGCTGGTGCGTGTGCCAGACGCCGTTCCGATGACAACTCGCTTTACGCATTCTGTTTCCCGCCAGGCACACATAGACCTTCCATGCAGTCCACGATGCGAATATGGTTCTCTGCAGTATGGCCCGACTCATTCCTTGTGGTGGCTATGGCTGTTGAAGGAGACTTCTTTTGTGTCGAAGGAGGTTGGATTTAGGGAAATGGTATGCAGCTACAGATCATCACAGAAGGAAATGGAGTGAGGGAATGGCCAACCAGTGCCGCACATTAGCATTCTAGTATTTCTCCTATTCATACCTAGCTTGATACAACTATCGTTCAATGTGTGATAAGAAGATTTGTGCTTTCTCGTACCATCGCTATGTTCCACTAGTATTGCTCTGTGCTTCTGTTTCTTGTAAGAAGTGGTGCTGGTAAGGCACTCCTAGGTATAGCATGTCCATGAAGATAGGCGTCTATCATGCTTAAGGTATTCATACAGCGGGTTCACCATGTCCTAAACGACAATTAAATAGACGTTCTATTTATGGGTATTTCAACTTAGTCCTCTAGTCTATCCAATCTAAATCATAGCATTCCCTTCCAGCGCTCTATACAAAGTTGTCCAGCTCCTCAGCATCATAGAATGGGTCATAGGCTTGAAAATTGCCAGCCCCGGATATAGCAGCCACACGCAAAAGATCCCACTGAAGCTCCAACAGCTCAAAGCAGGGCAGCTGACCGGGGTCATCGACGCGGATTGTAAAGACCTGACCCGTCTGTAGGGTCTTGCCGAACGCGTGCTTCAAGCTCCCCCAGCTGTCACCGACTTGGCGACTGACGTACTTTGTGTACTCGGCGTTTGGGGGGATCATCATTCTTGGGCTGAGGCAGCTCTCCTGGAGCCAATGCCACTGCACAACAATCGACGTTTCCGACTCGCTGAGTGGCTTCAAGGCAAATGCCGCGTTATCCCACCAGAAGTGCAGCTGGCGGTTCATTGAGAGGAAGTTTCGGGGAGAGTTGATAACGCCCGGATCGGTAACTCGAGAGACCCAGCGATCTCTAATTCTTTCGCCCCAGAAGCATTGAAGCAGCGCGTCGAGAGGCTGGAAAGCATCGCCGATGGTGGTGCAGAGCGGGAAGATGTCTGCCTTTTCTGCATCGCGAGAGACGGTGAAAAGGCACACCACTTGTTCACGCCTCTTTTCCAGGGTGGAGGGAGTGTTGCCGCGAAGGTAGGTAGAGGGTGAGACTGGTGTCATCGATGGCTGGGACGGCTGGTTGCGGGTGCTTGTTGTGGACATGGCTTGTCTGCGGTTTGGAATGCCTTGTGGGAAGATACCATTAGCAAACTTGTTAATATGAGAGCGAATGGGTTGATGAGACATACAGGATCGAACAGCTTCTGGTGCTGTATACATGGCGTAGAGCAGCAGCTTCGCGGGGTTGTTGGGACCATCCCGGTTAGGGTTATAGTAACGAATGTCTTCCAGCATCCGCCGCATCTGCGAGAGAGGCGCAATCATGATGACGGCAAACATTGTTGCGTTGAGCCCGTTGGATGTCTTGCTGTGGGCTTGGTAGAGGCGCTGGAAGGACTCGAAGAGCCTCATGCGGTCTTGCCACTCCGACCCTGGTGCATGACTACCCCTGAGTGTGATGGTTCGGGGGTATTGCTCCTTGGGCTTCTCAGTACGGAGGAAAGGCATTTTGGATAGTCTTTGTTTGGTGCTTATGGGAGAAAATTGATGAATTGTAAGTGTAAGAGTATGTGAACTGAAGCAGGTGAGAGACAGATTCGATGTGAAGAATTTGGAAGAAAATAGGTTCGAAGCAAGTGGCAGCGTAGGACTTTTATAAGCTGTACAAGTTAAACTTCTAAGACTGAGAAGAGCCAAGTTCAGCGCCACGCAACTTGCTTTGAGGCTGTAGGCTACACACTTGAAGTCGTGATCGAAATAAAGTTGTGTATAACACAAATAAGCTTATACGCTTTGCTTAAACGGTCCAAGATCTCGAGGACGGCTTGTTTGATCTACGACTCTGGCGTATGACACTCGGGTGCACCTCTGCCCATGTCGTTCATTGCTTCCAGGGGATCAATGGCTCTTTCAAAATCAAGTTTTGCTTGCAGACTCTCATTTATCAAATTTCGATGCTTTCACAAGGAACCAGGTTGCTGTGGTGAGTGAGAGTAGGTTGTTGTGTGTACTTACTCAGGCGTTGGCTGCCTTGTCTCCCAACTTTGTTGGGAAATGGGCAATCTGAGAGTTTGGCTATCAACTTTCGGGACTTAGGATCATCGTGAGTTCCAACTGAATGTGGAATAACTTGGTTCGCCTATGTAAAAGCTGGCCGAGCAGAAATGATTTGCATACATAATCGCCAAATTTTCTCCAAGTACGACACACTGTTCCCATTGTTCGCATGTTCTAGATCAAGCGTTGACCGCACTTTACAGTTGTTTCAAGACTTTAGCAGCGTGAAAACAGATCACGCGTATCTCACAGCATCTGACCTCTCTCAAGACTCCCTCGATGTAACTCAGCCGATTACATTGCGGTCCTTGAATGGTTGCAGTCATTGCTTCAACTGCACTGATTCAGCTACTCTGCGTATAATGCCACCCAATAAGAGGCATAAAAGCAACATGAATGCGCAGGCACCTGCCACATCGTTTAAACGCAGCTCAGATATCCTTCGTGTGGTGTGTTTCCCTAGACAATACCTACCGTTGCAGGGAGCACCCTCCGCTCTGATCGAGTCCAGCCGTTCAGGTTGCTAGATAAATCATTTAATGTATTAATATTCTCATATTTATTGACTTCTCTCAAAGCAAATATCTCCTTTCTGCCATTTCTTTTGGCATTTCCGTACCTGTATTCAAGCTAATGAGTCCTCTTCCGCAGGCCCTGTTTCTCTGAACTCGAAAGCTGTGTCTTATCGTTGACAAGTCAGTGGCTACAGATGCTTAAGTCCAAGTGATGGGAGCCAGTAATGGGGATCTTCCTTAAGACTGAAAGCGACTCGTTCTACGAGGGCCATGCAACGAATATCCTTATATGGTTGATCAGCTTGGTGAGGATTCTAGCATCTGAACCAGATCCAGAGGCACAGGTGTTTACAGACCATTGAATGCCTTTCACGGGTCATTCCAGATGGTCCGTTATCATATATTTTGGATTAACTCGAAATGATTACCAAGATAATATTTACTTTCTAATTTCATAGGTAGCTGTTGACATCTCTTATGTTGTCCGTCTCATCACCAGTGTTGGAGTGAGTTTGTACAGTGACGCTTAGTCAGCACGATGCTCAACAACGACTTTTTTTCGCCATCTCAAGACTCAGCAAAAGCTGCACGTCTGCCAGGGTTCCGGCATGTCTGCGTCTGCGTCAGCTTCAGCTCCAGCTTCACCATCGGCCGCGTCGGTGCTCAACCTCAATGCGCTGTTCGACAACCCGCTGTTCGCGGGCGGCATCGGCCTCGCCTCGTTAGGCGCCGCCGCAGCGTTTGCGCGCAAGGGCTCGATTGCCGTCCTCGGCGCTGCTCGTCGGCGGCTGCTCGTCAACGTCGAGATCAGCAAGCAGGATCCGGCGTATCCCTGGATCCTGGCATGGCTCTCGCAGCCTCGCGAGACGCCGGGCTTCATCGCCTCGCGGCTGACGCGCATTCACAATCTGTCGGTGGCGACGGCGACGGGGTCAAAGGGACCGGGAGCCGGCGGGCCAGTCAATGCTCACTTCTTTCTCCAGCCTGGATATGGACGCCACATTGTCAAGTTTGGACGGGCTTTTATCTCGGTAAACAGGGAGAAGCACAACACGGCCAACATGAACACCGGAGAGCCGCATGAGATTGTCCAGCTGACCACGCTGTGGGCGCATCGCCACGTCTTCGAGGACCTCTTTAGAGAGGCACACCAACTGGCCGCAAAGGCAAACGAAGGCAAGACGGTGGTGTACTCTGCGCGTGGGCTTGAATGGAGTCCCCTCGGAGACCCTCGGAAGAAGCGACCGCTCGGGTCGGTCATCCTGGACGAGGGTGTCAAAGAGAGCATCGTTGCAGACGTCAAAGACTTTCTATCAAGGCAACAGTGGTACGTGGATCGAGGCATTCCCTACCGGAGAGGATACCTCTTGTTTGGGCCTCCTGGAAGTGGCAAGAGCTCTTTCATCCAAGCGCTGGCAGGAGAGCTCGACTTTGGCGTTGCCATGATCAACCTCAGCGAGATGGGCATGACGGACGACAAGCTGGCATACCTCCTGACGAAGCTGCCCAAGAGGAGCCTGCTTCTTCTGGAAGATGCGGATGCGGCCTTTGTCAACCGGCGACAGCGAGACTCGGATGGATACAGCGGCGCAAACGTCACCTTTTCTGGTCTGTTGAACGCCTTGGATGGTGTCGCAGCTGGAGAAGAGCGCATTGCGTTCCTCACAACCAATCACATTGAACGCCTGGATCCCGCGCTGATTCGACCTGGTCGGGTGGACATGATGATTAAGATTGGTGAGGCCACACGGTACCAGGCTGCGCAGATGTGGGATCGTTTCTATGGCGATGTGGATGAGGATCACTCTGGTCGGGCACGGTTCCTGGAGCGCCTGGAAGAGCTTGGTTTGTTTGGGCAGTACAAGGATGGGCAGCCTTCTCATCGGCACACGAGCGCTGCTGCGATCCAGGGGCTGTTCTTGTTCAACAAGAACGATATGCAAGGTGCCATTGACATGGCCGAGGGCTTGATTCCGAGGAAATTCGAGGCCGAAGAGTCGACTCCCGATGGGGCCATCAAGACGCCCGTCTGAAATGTGGCAGTTTGAGCCATCTGAAGATACCAGTCATGTACACTATGTTTGTAACAACAAAGGATACCCATACAAAGAAGCATTGTGCTGATGATGCAGACCCTTGGCCGTGCATGCCTTCAAGAATAACACGAGCAATTGAACCGATTTACCCCTTTGACCACCGAGGAACCTGAAACAAAGCAGCTTTGCTCATTGTTAATCTCCACCAACTCTAGAGCTATTCCAGGCGCCTCATAAAGGCTCATGTTTCTACTGCTACTAAGTCAACTCTCCAAGACAACGTCCCGAAGAAGAAGCTTCACTGCACGTCGACATGGCGGCACGAAATGCCTTGATCAAGGTAGCCAAAGAAACGCAGACCGTATTACCTTCCATCGTGCAGCAACTTCCCGACCTCAACCCAAGCTCATCTGAACGCCTCGACTACAAGACCCTTCCAGCTCTCGAGGCATCTTCATGTCCCAAGCGAACAGCCAAGGGCAACGTGACCGTTCGTGTCCTTCAAGAAGATTCGCTCAATGCAGCCATTCAACTCGCAAGCACCCGCGGTCCGGAATCAGGCCGCGTCGTCGTCCTGAGCAACGCCAATGCCAGGACCCCGGGCGGGCCGTGGCTTCAAGGCGTCATGGCACAAGAAGAAGAGATGTGTTACCGCAGCTCGCTATCCTTGTCGCTCCATGAGGACCTCTATCCTTGGACAGGCACGCAGGGCCTCTACACGCCTGATGTGGTTATCATTCGCGACGATGTCAAGTCCGGACATGGCTTGCTCTATCCAGCGACTGAAGCTGCAAACCTCCCCGTCGTGAGCGTCATCAGCATCGCTGCCCTCACACGTTTCAAACGCACCACGGAGCAAATCACTCTCAACAACGGCGTGCAAAGCATCACGGCGAAGAGAGCCGTCTACAAGAACACCCAAGACAGAGACAACATGAAGAAGAAGATGCGGTTCAGTCTACGCATCGCAGCGTCCAAGGGCCATGGGCTGCTCGTCCTGGGCGCGTTTGGATGCGGCTCGTTTGGTAATCCTCGGGACGATGTTGCCGAATGCTGGCTGGAGGTGCTGCGGGAGGAGGAGTTTGCGGGAGGATGGTGGGATGAGGTTTGGTTTGCGGTGCTGGATCCGAGGGGGGATGGCAACTTTGGGGTGTTTCGGGATGTTCTTGATGGGGTGAGGATTTGAAGTTGGATATGTGATTAAGTCGAAAGGATTGTTTCTCGATTTTGCGCCGAGAGTGACTGTCTTGTTTGGGAATTTGGTATCTATGTAGTCTGGTTGAGTTGTATATCGAGAGGGTGTCTATTGGGGAAGCAGGATTGATTACACAGAACCCAAAGATGATAGAAATTGACAATTTCCAGTTATAACGTTGACGCCATCAAGTCTTTCGGAGAAATATTCCAGAACCCCATTCTTTTACCTTTTCCTTACATTGTCTCAATAAGAGACCCTTTGTTGTATCACTTCCCGTATAGGCCATCTCAGCTCATCTGCATGCTACACCACAATGCAGCTGGGCCAACATGATTATTTTCTGCTTGCCTCTCCCTTCTACAGACATCAAAAGCCATCAATCAAATGTCACTGGGCCAGTTTTCTGACCCATTCGACGGCGTAGGAATTCAGAGGCTCTCCACTTGGGACCCTCGTGGCGATGTCGTGATCGGCGCCATTTTTAGCTCAAAGATCAAGGAGCCGATAGTATTTGATGAGACAGGTACGCCTGTTTGAGCTGCAATACAGAAGGATTTTACACCCGGAACAGGAGAAATCAAGGGAATTGCTAGATGTTGTTAATACTGTTTCCTCATTGAATAACTATATGCTTTTGAAAATAAAACTCCTCAAGATTGCAGAGACTCTCGTGGTAACACAGCCAAGTCCCAGCATCTTCACCAACCCGTCCCCATTCCCACCAGACCATGTGGAGGCCCGAAAAACGTGAAGTGACGTGATCGCAGACTTAGCAAGGGTCCTCGAATACACGTAACCCAGTCTTGCCGTCCTCTTTCAAATAACACTAAGCAGTTGGGACGAGTCAGTATTAGAAAAGGAAGAAAAAAAACAGGAGAAGAAACACCATCAACATCATCACGGTTCGCGCTGTGCCCAGGTGCGTTAGTAGGAGTTTGCCCTCTTGTTTTCTCAATTCGAAGCCAAGACCCTCTCCGGATCTGGACCTGTCTTACATGGGATCTTGAGTCTTGCATCATCGCGGTGGCTGGTTGCTTCTTCCGCTTTTTTGGGCACTAATATTTCATTCTTCTTTATTTTTCTCGAATAGAGTCTGCCAGCGTTGGGTACCTGGGTTGCTATGAGAGCCGTGCTGTCTTGATATCAACTCGTCCCGCATCCTCTTCGTCTCCCCATCATCCTCCTCCTCCTCTTTTTCACCCTTCGACTTCTTTCCCAAGAGAAGCAGAATCGAGTAATCTAGGGGCATCATCATGTTTGGCCACAGCAAATCCGGCAAGCTCGACGACGAGCCTCGCCTGGACGACGTCTCCGCCGAAGACGCCCCGGCATACCACACGCAGTACGGCGCGCGCAGCCTCGATGCCGGCGACCACGAGCTCATCGACCCGGACTCGGGCGTCAAGCGCGGCCTCAAGAACCGGCACCTGTCCATGATGGCGCTCGCAGGCATCATCGGGCCCGGCCTGCTGGTTGGCTCGGGGGGTGCTCTCAACAGCGGTGGGCCGGCGTCGCTCATCATCGGGTTCGGTGTCATTGGTACGATATCATGCCACCTAGATTTCAGCTTATATGGCTAACATTGTTTCAGGCATCATTGCCTATTCCGTCATGCAGTCCCTGGGCGAAATCACGACTCTGTATCCCGGCGGAGGCGCATTCGTCTCGCTGGCTGAGCGCATGGTCGACAAGTCCTTTTCCGTGGCCGTGGGCTGGAACTACTTCATCATCTGGGCCACCGTCCTGGCCAGCGAGTACAACGTCATCTGCAGCATCCTCAACTTCTGGGCGCCCAAGGTCCCGCTCTGGGGGTGGTTTCTCATCCTCTGGACCGTGTTTCTGGCGTTTCAGATCATCGGAGGCATCACGGCCTTTGGCGAGGCAGAGTATATCCTGGCGCTGATCAAGATCCTCGGGCTCACGGCGTACTTTGTCTTTTCCATTGTATATGCGTCCGGTGGGCTCGTGGGCCAGGACGGGGCCATTGGCTTTCGCTACTGGCATGATCCGGGAGCTTTCAACGGCCATGGCTTCCGAGGAGTGGCCACTGTGTTTGTCTTTTGCTCGACCTTTTATGCCGGTGTCGAGTCTGTGGCCGTGGCTGCCACGGAGACGAGAAACCCCGGCGTTGCCGTCCCGCGGGCTATCCGTCAGGTCTTCTTCCGCATCATCTTTGTGTACATGGGGTCGGCCTTCTTCTTTGGCCTCACGTGCCCGGCTGATTCCGACGAACTGATCAACGGAGGTGCCAAGGCGCTGCAGAGCCCCATGACGATTGCCATCCAGAATGCTGGTTGGAATGGAGGTTCGTGATACTAGTGATCCCTTATCCTTTGACGAGCCATGTGCTAACGGGGGATCCTTCCAGGCGTCCACCTCATCAACGCCTTCATCCTCATTACCTGTCTGTCTGCCGTCAACTCGTCCATCTACATCGGCTCCCGCACCGTCCTGTACATGGCGCAGTCTGGAAAGGCGCCCAAGATCCTCGGCTGGGTCAACAAGCACGGCGTGCCCGTCTGGGCCATTGTCCTCACCAACGCCGTCGGCGCCATCTCCATGATGAACGTGTCGACGGGCGCGTCCAAGGCGTACAGCTACATCATCAACCTTGCCGGCGTCAGCACGTTCCTGGTCTGGGGCAGCATCAGCTTCATCCACATCCGCTTCCGCCGCGCGTGGACGACGCAGCAGCGCCGGGTGAGCGATCTGCCGTTCAAGAGCGTGCTGTATCCCTATAGCCCGTACTTTGGCGTCTTTGCCAACGTGTTCCTCGCGCTGGTCCAGGGGTGGACGACGCTGTCGCCGTTTGACGCGGGTAAGTTTGTCGATGCGTACATATTGCTGCCGCTGTTTGGAGTCATCTATGTGCTGTGCAAGCTGTACTGGAGAGGCGAGGACAGATTCAAGAGGAGTTGGGACATTGATCTGGACAGCGGGCGGAGGAGCGATCTCGACAAGAGCGACTTTGTGGGGGATGCGTCTGTCGAGCAGACACAAAAGGTGTCGCTGTGGAACAAAATTTTGTCGTCTGTGTAGATGATAATGATGATGAGGACACTGTTTCTTAAGACATAGGTAATACAGTAGAGTATTATTGGTTGCGGAGGTTGAATTGTATGCATATTGAGTGCAGCATGGTTCCATCAAATGCATGTGATGGGCTGCTTACTGGCTTATACCGGCTATCAGCTAAACGCCCAACTGCAGCCCCGGCTCTTACCCATGACGCAACAGCAAACCCCCAACAGTTCCTTAGGTAGGCATACGATGGCTCCTTCATATAAGAATATACAGCTGCTCCCTTGGATGCTCGATGGCTACCTATCCAGCCAATTGACCCGGAATCGAGACTCCCTCTCCCGGGTAGCCTCTCCAGGTCACCATCACCAAACTTGCGCTGCAAATCGGACAATAACCTGCCGGGGCCCGTGCTCTTCCCGCATCCCTAGCGCTCCAGGCCAGGGTTCCAGGTACATCGGTTGCAGCTGCTACAGGGCACTTCCAGGGGACAGGCACAGGTACAGGTACACGTACCGGCACGGCGACGCGCGGGCTGCCAATGAGGTCAGCACTACTCCGTACTACCAAGGTACATGTACCTTATCAGTCTGATCCGCATCCTGGAGCTGCTCCGACTTGCCCTCCTGCAACATCAAACCTCCACCAGCTCTGCATATCAGCGCAATCCGACCATCGCCATCGCCGCGACCCCGAGACTCAAGCCGGGCTTCTCTCTTCCTGTTCGACTCCAATAGCCTTCTGCTGCATTGATACACAGCCTGCCGCGCACCCTGTCGCTCTCTTTCATGTCTCTCGCTGGCCGACGACTCTGCAGTCCATCCCTCGACTCCCTCCCCCTCGATTAACCCCCCTCCATCACTGTATCTCGACTCAGCCTCTCCTCCGCGCTCGACCCCAACAGACAGATACACAGCTGCTTCTCTCCAGCATACCAGACCCGATTCGGTCCGATCCGTTCCGATTCAGCTCGACACGTCACGACACGACACGACACGATACGACACAGCGTCCAGCCGAGTGAATGCAACCGCTAAACCCCTTCCTGTCCGCCTTCTTCAAGAGCCAGGTCGCTGCGCAGTGCACCCCCGTCCACCACCACATCCTGCTGGTGCCCTTGACCGATGTGCTCCTCACCCACCGCGAGACGGAGAGCGGCGCTCCGGTCCACGAGGTCGTCGCCTCGGACGAGTTCCTAGCCAGCCATGTGCTGCGCATCGCCGGGCCCGACGGGCTGGTCGGCGCCAAGGACAGCTCCCAGAACTTGCGCGAGGCACGCGGCAAGGCTCGCCAGTTCAACACGCTCAACGGGAGGAGCGTCATTGTCAAGGACTCCTTCATCTACAGCAACAAAGGTGCGTTTGCCATCGCTTCGCAGGTCCAGGCACGGCTAACCGCGGTGCGACTGCAGGGTTCAAGACGCTTGCGCAGGCCCAGATCCTCAACGACACCACCTGGTACCCGGACGTCTTCGAGCCTCGGCAATGGCTGGTATACTTCATCTCCAAGCCCCTCGTCGGAGTGTGGGAGGAGGTCAGGCTGGAGCCCGCCGTCCTCGTCTCCGGCACCAGGAGTCGCGCGGCCGCGGAGCAACAGCAGAAGCGACAGACCAACGGCGACTCGGCCGACGCCTCCTTGCCGCGGAAAAAGGACATCAGGAGCTTCCACGATCTTCTCAACAACTTTCCCATGATTGCTCGCCAGATGCAGCCCGGCTTGGAGAAGCTCTTTATCGAATTCTCGACAGTCTTTCAGAAGCCGCTGCCGCCACCGCCGTCGGCCGAATACATTCCAGATCCGAAGCCAGATGGGCCAGTCACGGCCGCCGCCAGAAGGGCAAGGGCGGATAGCTTGACGGCCAAGAGCGGCAAGGCACCCTTCAACAACAGCCTTCCGGTTGTCGAAGACTTTTTCGAGGAGGACGACGAGGACATCATGCGCGCATCCCTTGAGAGCGCCGTTACGGCTGCGATTGATATCTTCCAGGGGGTAGATAAGCAACAGCTGTCGCTACTGGGCGCTACAACGGACCTGACAGGCCCGCTGGTGGAAAAGCTCATTGAGCGCTACATTGCCGAAAATGTTCACGGCCTGCTCTTTGGCAAGCTCAGCGCCATCAAGCGACGGGAGGACCTGGAGCTGGAAGCCAAGATTCGAAGAATGGAGTACATTGACATCTCTCAACTAGGGATTGCGATTGACGGTGGTATGAAAGCCAAACACGACCTTGTGACACAGCTCAACCCGGCCGTAGACGAGTTCAGGAAGATTTCCACCGCTAGAAGCCCGCAGGAGATGCTGGATCTGTTACTGTCGACGATGAAGATTGCCTCCCAGCTTACCGACACCTCAAGGCCTCTGAACGGCACTGCTGCAACAGAGGCACCGTCGTCTGAAAAGGCCATCATGACCGTCAACGCCGACACCCTGGTCTCACTATTGCTATACGTCGTGATTCGGGCGCAGGTGAAGAATCTACAGGCCCGACTTGCCTATGTACGAAATTTCATCTTTGTCGAGGACGTCGACAGCGGTGAAATGGGGTATGCCCTGAGCACTTTTGAGGCTGTGCTGGCGTACCTCTTCACGGATTCGGCGGGCTTGCGCCGCGCCAGCAGGAAGAACAAAGCTCTTTGGGATGCTGCCAAGGGGGCGGACCTGAAAGAGCTGCGAAACATCATGGAGCCCAACCCTTGCGCGGTTGGCGATGACGACGACATTGAAGATAGTGACAATGACGTCGATGCTCAGTTCAAACTGGCCAACGGATCGAGGCGATCATCGCTTGCTCGCGACTCTTCGGACCGGTTTTCTCATGGTACCGGCCTCGGCCACGTTTTCCCCTTCCAGGCCAATGGCGATGGCGCAAACGAGCCGACACTCGATCTGCCGCTCAAGAAGACCAAGAGAGTCGCCATGGACACCAGGAGCTTATCAAGTGCTTCCGAGTTTTCATACCATTCCCTGACGGCAAGCATCGGCTCCCTCGGCAGCGCCCTGGAAGGCGACGTCTCTGTGGAAAGGCTTGCCCAAACCAGCACTGCCCTGGGCGAATCCGTCCTGATGATGGCCGTGCAGAGCGGAAGCGTCGAAACGCTGGGCTATCTCCTGTCCTTGTCCGGATATTATCCGTTTGACATTGTCCTGAGTGACGTTAACAACGAAAACACGACGCTGTTGAGCGCTGCCACTCAGCTCGGCAACCGCGAGCTCATCAGCTTCTTCCTCGAGTATCTCCTCGAAAGAGCCACTCCAGGGCAGTTGGGCCACTACTTTGCAGTTCAAGATATTTGGGGTCGAAGCGTCGGGCACTACTTGTTCAACGCGCCGTGGATGATTAGCATGGTTGGGCCCCTGATATCATGGCGCCAGAGAGACAAGAATGGGCAGACGCCGCTCTTCGCGCTGTGTCGCTGCTACGACCATGTGGATTACTACGCCATGGTGGAGGACGGCATTAGAGCTGCTCAGCAAGCGCAGCTTGACGGGCAGCCGCTGCATGTCGACGAGCACATTGACGGCAAGGGCAACACTCTCCTGCACATTATGAATGACCCAAGACTGGCGCTGAGGATCCTGCAATACTGCGACGTCGACGTCAACGCGACCAACGAGAAGAAGTTTACAGCACTCATGGTGGCCAGCAAATACGGCCGCTACGATATGGTCAGGGCGCTCTTTGCCGATCCTCGAGTGGACATTGGGGCTAAGGAACTACGAGGCCTCACCGCGGTGGAGCTGGCAAAGGACGATGATGTTCGAAATAGGATTGACGACCTTGGTCTTTTCAGCATGCCTCCCGCAAAGGACGGCCGGATCACCGGCGTCGTCAGGGCCTTTTTCGTGGAAGACAGCACGGTGCGACTGGTTCTCAAGTCGGCAGCTCCGACGGACCACGACAGTTATACGGTAACAACCAGCCGACGGTCGCTGACCGACTTTGAGCAGCTTGCGCGCCTGCTAGCCGAGGAGAATCCTGCGTCATGGATTCCCTCGATAGCAGATACCAGATGGCCGTTCCAGCTGCCCTCGCGGCCGTCTCGAGCCGCGCTGCGAGACATCCAGATACGGACGGACTGGTTCCTAAAGATTATGCTGAGCCATCCGACGCTTTCCACCCACGAAATGCTATGGGAGTTTTTCCTGGTGCCAGAGCTGCAGCTCGAAGCCATGGAGCAGAGGACAAAACTCAAGGCTGAAACGAGGGTCGAGAAGATCCGTGAAGAGTACGAGCCCATGGACGACGTGCGGGAAGTGGAGCAGTTTGTCAACCACGCGCGGGAGATGGTCCGGAGCGTCAGCTACTCGACCAAGAGCGTGACGAGGCGTGCGAATGCCGTGGGTCAAGTTGCTACCGGTGAGTGTCCTATTTTTGTCCCATAACATGAAGGAAACACAGCTGACAATGAAACACTTTGTCGGTAACAGATTTCTACGATGCGGCGGCGCTGCTCTACCGGGCATTGTTCACCATACAATATCTCCCCCCGCAGCACATTGTGGGCATGGAGGTGTTTGTTCGAGCCATGGCACCCGTTCAGCACAATCCCCAAGTGGTGTTTCACACGACGCTGCTGGCGATTCAGTCGACGGTGCAGGCACTTCTGTCAGCGCTGGCGCGGCCGACCAACCTGATTGGGCAGATTACGGCAGCCAAGAGGGAGGCGGACAGAAACGACAGCATCGCGATGCGGCCATCAAGATGGCCCCTGGGCTTGCTCGACGACTCCAGACAGCGACACCAGGAAGAAAAGGAAAAGCGAGCGCGCCAATCACGGGAGCAGGCATCGTACCTGTCCAGGGAACTCCGCTACACGCAGCAGACTGTGGCGAGTGAACTGGCTGGATGGCAGGAGCTGCACGACCAGATGGGACTCCGGGCCATTCGCGAGTATGCGCGAGGCATGGTGGTGCAAGAAAGAGTACGGCTGGAGGGCATGATGCGAGCGCTGAGGATAGTCCGGATGGGCAACTACCAGCAGGGGGGAATGGCCGTATCTCAGCGACGACCTCCGTCGCCCCCAACAGACCGGAAACAAGAAACCGAGGACGGGGATGAGGTGCCAAGACGAAACGAAACGAACTGAGTGGAGTGGTGGTAGAGTGACGAGAGAGGAGACGAACTTTTGCTCACATGCCAGCGTGTCACGGAGGCGACGAGCGACGAGGTGAACGACGCGTCACAGACCAGGCGTTTGCAAAAGGACGCGACAGCGCACAAATCGTTGGCCAGGGACCTGCATACTACTAGCTGGGCGTGACTGACGAAGCGGGGGGGTAGAGGAAAGGTGAGAAGAGCGAAAAAGAAGGCGAATGGGATGGCTTGAATTTTTCTTCTTTTCCTGCATGATGCATCTTGATGGATACTACATGACTAAAATTTGCGGTTTGGCTTGGGCAACCCGGCGTTGGTAGGGGGGAGACGAAGGATAAAAGATGTGCTACAAGGACAGTATTCTTTTTTTTTCTTGTTATACTCATCATGATAGAAAAGACAGCGATGCTTTGGATTCCGCATGATGCTCCTTTTGAAGCGCGAAGTAGGTGATGATGGTGGTGACTGAACATGAAGATGGATGGGAGGGCTACTCTAGGTATCTCGAGGGGAAAAACCACCAAGACGGCCTTGGGAATGACAAACCCGGTGGACCAAAACGTGGTGAATGCCCAAAATTCTTGAGTTGGCATTAGCGACTGACATGTCTTCAGCGATGCCCACCTGTAACGTGCGTTATCATGTACGACAGATAGATTGAAGAGTTGACGGTGAGAGGTGAAAGCTGGGTTGATACCCGACGAATCGTCGAGCAGTGACCTGAAACACAATTTCTGCATCTCCAAGACGGCAAACGCACGTTTTTTTTTCGACCCAAACTTGCTGCTAAGCGAAGATGTTGCATATACTACTAGTAGCGTGCATACATGCAGCCTGAAGACTGCCTTATTGGGTGTTGGGACGACAAAAGCGAAGAGTCATACCTTAGGGAGTCAGTCTGGTTGATTGATACCTGACCTTTTGCAGCTTGCAGATGCAGGTGCATGATGCAAAATGGCTACAAATCACCGTTTTTCTATAATCCTGGGCTTGTTTCGAAACAAAGATGGGGGGGGGGGGGGGGGGGTCACTTCTTGCAGTTTTAGTTCGTAAAGATGAAACACATTTGTTCCCTATGATTGATGAGTTGTTCTTGTGATAGAAATGCCCTACGATGACTCGTAGGTACTTTATGACAACGCAGAGTTGCTGTGAAGTCGTCTGAGTGGGTCCTCGAGGCGTGTCGATTCTGCCGTAAGTGGGGCTGAATCAAAGAGTGGACCCGAGCTTTTTTGAACGTGGGGCAACAAAAAAGCGATTCGAGAAGAGGAAGATTCGGTGAGCCAATCAGAGTGCGGAAGGGGCATGCGGGAAGCCGATTGGCTGGGCCTAAAATAGAGAAAGGTCTACTACTCGTAGGTATGTACAAGTAACCCCACAGTACTGAGAGAAAGACCCGGGAGAATGAATGAGAAGCGGGTTGAGGCGCGTTTTGCTGGAGAAATATGGGATGAATGAATGAATGATGCGTGGAGGCTTGCACGTGTTTGATAGGGGAGATGCCGTGTGCGGGATAGCAACTCTGGGGTTGTCCAATAGCTACTTGTACAGTAAATGTATGGTGTTACTGGTGGTGCATGCAGTGTACGAGGATGCGAAATAGAGAGGGGATATGGGGAAACACAAAGGCACTGTAAAGGCACGGGATGTACGATGAGAGAGGACAAATTTTGTGTGCAACAGGCGCGAACGCGGAAATGCGGTTCTCGCAAAAATGATTGGGCTTGGTCATAAGAGGTTGCTACGCGCCTGGATTTGCCTGTGAGCGACAAGAATGAGGCGAAGCAACTGATGGCTCGGTCAATCAAGCAAAACATGGTTGGCATACTTTATCCTGAAGCGTGACGTACCTGATGTACCTACAGAGCAGAAGAGAATGTGCGCATGTGAAGCACGGTGTGTCCAGCATGGCAAAGACGGGAAAACGGTATAATGATGCAAATCTGCGCAGCCGCCGGTGTGGGACGTTGATCGGGAGACGGTGAGATGTTCACAATACTGGTAATACTAGAGTAATTACAAGTTCGACTGATCCCGATCGGTGGTGCGACGAGCAGGACGCTCGGATCACGGGCTGGGACGGGAGACGCTTGTTCCCTTTTATGTGCCGCCTCTTGCTCTGCGTGTATGTAAGACAGCATGTACATACCTATAGTAGAAACAACGGCAAGGTACTTACAGAACACCGGGGGAGCGGGCGGTTAAGCGCTCGGCGGCTTGCGGAGGCGTCCGTCCCGCTCTAAGCGCCCGGCAAGAATGCCAGCCAGAGGAGAAGCTGCGTCTATTTGCGGCTGTTGACCATGTCTCATCCACGGTCTCAGCTAAAAGAAGCGGAACGTGCAATTTCAGATATCGGAGCAAAAATAGACGGGAGATGAGCTCCATACTAGTAATAAACTTTGTATTACTGCTACGGCCCTGTCTTGCTATGAGAATTCTTTACGGAGGCTTGCTGGCAGTTTCATTGGCGGTAGGTACTTTTTACTACTAGGTACTTTATCAGACCAGGCAATGCAGTGAGTGAGATGAAATGAAAAACCTGGGGTCCAAACTCTGGATGGGCGGCAAGAGGAAGCAATTGTGGCCGTGCGAGTGGAGGAGCCTGGTTGCTTGGCGCGGCGGCCGTTGCGAGCACGAGATGCCTTGAACAGTCACGACGGATGGACACGCGATACATGACAATACTCGTCTGATCAAGACAAACATCCAGCGTCGCAAAGGAAAAAAAAAAAGCTCGCAATTCGCGACTTTTCCGCATCGCGGTGCCAAGATCAAACCAGATCTGGCGAGATCTGGAGTTCTGCGCGCGCGTCCAACAACCAACAATGTTTGAGCATGGGAAACACGTTGAAAGACACGAGCAAAGGAGACGTACCGTACCGCACCCAGCAAATGAGTCATGGGTGCCGCTGCACAGTTGGGCCAATCGCAGAGGCGGCGCCTGCAGCAGGTCCCGCTAAGCCCCGGGAAATCGACCCTGATTGCTGGCGCTAGTCAATCTGTGATCTAGCGCGCTCTCCAAGCCCTAATTCTTCTCGCTAGACATTCAGAGAGGGGGGGTGTATGGCTGCAGGGGGAGTTTTGGACTCAATCTTTACCTATCCGTACCTACACTCTGGGCTTCCATCCACTGACAGGCTGCAGCAGCGACGTCTGCCGACAAGCAGGCTGGGACTCGATCCTGGTAGCATTTTCCTCGTTTCTCGTTGCGTCTTCAGTCCTCGATGCTCAATTCGACGATGCAGACGCGGAGCCTTGGCGGGGGGGGGGGGGGGGGGGGCGGGCAGCCGGGGCCGGATGCCAGGCTGTGGCCCTGGGCCGCATTGCATGGCATGGTGCGGATGATGGAGCCGTCAGAACCACGGGAGAGGAGCCATGTCGACGCCTTACAGCATGTACGAGTATGTACTTGGTCTTGACCAGCAACATCTTGAACAACGAGTCGATGCTAGTAAGTACTCTTTCTCCGAATGCGTTGTCCTCGATGACTCTTTTCGACCCCGGACTCGTCGGGTCGCGTTTCAAACTTCCTTGTTCTGGCTTCGACGATGCTCGAGCTTGTGCCCAAGCAGACGAGGCGGGCAGAGGCAGACGCGGGTGTGGGTGCGAGCAATGGCATGACCAGGGAGGGCTCAGCCTCTGGCCTCGCTGATCCATGAGCCGCTGGCGAGCGAGTTTTCGCGGCATGGCACGGCAGACCAGACCGACCGGGACAGTTGCAGCAGCCGTGTCTGGTCCCCCTCTCTCGGTCTGTCTGTCTGCTCTGCTCATGGGACGTGGACATGGAGGGGGTCGACTTCTACTACCACGCAAATCCGGCTGCTCCACCCCCATCCCATCCCACGCCCTCTTACACGCCTCTACCCGCATCTCGCACGCCACACCCCCCAAGACGGCCGTGAACCTGGCCGCCATCTTCAGGACCCTCAAACCCCCAAGGCCAGCTCCAAGGATAAGAAGCTGGCCTCGTCCCTCGGTTTCCAATCATTCTTGCCTCACTTCCTTGTTCAACCCTCTCCATAGTCTCTTTTGGTTCCCTCTTGCTTTCTTCTTTTTCTTGCTTTGCATCTCGTCTTGTCTGAGAGTTTCATCTGCCATCGAACCAACGTCTTCTCTTGCTCTTTTGCATCTAGTCACTTAGAACGCCTTCTTGCTCGCTGGTCGAACACGCTCCAAACGCTTGGAGAATCGCTTTGATATACACCATTCGCGTACAACCAAAAAAGCTGCGAAAAACACATCTCAACTGTCTACAGTCGGAGCTGGCCTCCTTCATCGCCTAATACGGTTAATTCCTCGCTTCGTTCACCTTTACCTACGCCATATCAACCGCCATCATGTCAGCGTGAGTATCCTTGCATATCCGTAAGCTCCTTTACGCTCCATACCTACTGACACACAACCAGTCTGGCAGCCGACGTCGCCTTCGACTTCACCTTCCCCTCGCCCTCTCCCTCCCTCGAGGATCCTACAACGCCCCCCATGGACAGCATGCCTCTCATGGAGGCCTACAGCCTCGACCACTACCCGTCAAGTCTCCTGGAGCTGCCCTTCAACCAACACAATCGCCATGCCCGGTCTGCATCCAAGGCCTCGTCCATCTTCTCGACAGTCTCCTCAGCCTCGGCTGCCATCTCCGCGGTCGACTCAATATCAGACTCGGTGTGCTCCCGCTTCACCACTCCTCCGCGCGCCAGCCCGCCGGTCCGCCAGCATGGTCCCCTGTTGCTGCCCAAGATTCGCTCTCAGGATCAGGAAATCAGCCAGTCTCGCATGATGCCCGCCGCGCACTCCCGCTCAAACTCCATTCGCTCTGGTAGGGCAAGGCTGGCCCAGCAGCAGTCCACGCCGCCGCCGCCTGCCTCCAAGCCCATCCGCACCAGCCACTCGCGCAGCTTCACCAACCCGGAGACTCTGGCCAACATGGCTTTCGCTCACATCTCTCCCTTTGCGACACCTCCGCCGCAGCCTCTTGATGAGACGCCGGCCTTTCCCTCAACGCTCCTCGGGTCGCCGGCGACCTTTGCTCAGGACACCATGCCGCCCTCTCGCCGCACCAGCTGCACCATTGACCCGGCCACCATT